GTCACTTGTTCTAATTAATCCCATAGCTAGTTTACAAAAGCCATGTGGACTGCAGAAGCAGGCTTTCTGATTAACCTCTCTCCACCTGTGCAGCAAAAGCCACTATGACATCGGCCATAAGGCAATGGAAGATGCAGACCTGCTGAATGCATGGAAGGCCCCCATGCTGGAGGCATTTGTTTGTATTCATGAGCAATCATACATATGTATCATATATAATTACATAATAAATGTATGTCTGTATGTGTGAACATACACATGCATATAGTTTTATGTAACTATACACACTGAGGTATAATGATATTTTATGTAACAAATATCACCTCATGTGACTACATTAACATGATCATATCATATATTAAGATGGGAAAGATTATTTTATTCTATTATATTCTATTATATTCAATATTCTATTATATTAAAAGATTAATCTTTTCCTCATACTTTACACCAGCCTCCTCATTCGATTCTCCTTTTTTTCCTCCACTAAAAGACCACTTCCTTGTTAGTAAACCCAAATTCATAGCCTCCATAGAACCTATATTTGTCTCCATATAACCTCCATATTCGTCTATATTTTTCTCTGTACTCATATTATCTTTCGTAGACACACATGCATAGAAATGTTTATTCTGCTCAAAATTTGTTTATTCTACAAAAGACATCTTATACAGACTGAAAACAAATTTTGCAGAAATCTTCCAAGTCCATTGACATGACTCCAATTCATTTGTTGATATTTTTTTTTAGCATTCCGTGCTATAGATATGCAAGAGTTTATTCCAGACATTCCCTACTGATGGGCAGTCCCTTTGTGAATGCTTTTTAATTCTATAGGACCGCTCCTAGAGTTGTAGTTGCTGCATCAAAAAGAATATATGTTTCTAAGTTTAGAGTCTTATAAACTGTTTCTAAAACATTGTCAGATTACTCCAGCAATGTGAGGGTGCCCTATCCTCACCTATCAGTCATCAGTAAGTATAATTTTTCCTTTTTGTTTAAAAAAGTTGGCAGACTCATAAATGTAAAGAAATCGTCATTGATGCATCAATTTTTGCTTCTCTCATAACTGCTACATCTGAGAATCTCTTCACATATCTGCTGGTCATTTGGATTTGCTCCTGTGTAAATGATCTCTTCTAATCCTTTGCCCATTTTTTTCACACTTACATTGTTTGTTCTCTTTTTGCAAATATGTAAAAGATATTTGTCTATTATTAATAATCGACATCTGTCCTCATTGAAAATACTTCTCCAGGTAGTTTTGTTATGTTTTGTGCTTATGGCATCTCTCATGATAAATAATTAAAAATTTCCAGTCAATTCCGGTAGGTTCATATCTATGTTGCCATGATAATGTCTATCGAAGTTCCAGGATTTCCTTTTTTTTTTTTTTTACATTTAAGACTTTAATCCATTTGGAATTTATATTTGGCCATGATGTAAGAAGGGGGTCCAGTTTTATAGTCTTCCAGATGGATAACCAGCTGTGTCTGTACCATTTATTAAACAATCCATTCCTTACCACTGAATTAAAATGCCATCATTGCCATTTATCACATTCTCACAACCAATGTGGTCTTTTACTTTATTCCCTTTTCCAGTCCATCGATGTGTCTATATGTTCCTAGACCAAACCACAGCTATATAATTTCTGTGGCTCTGTAGTACTGATTTGCTATACCAGCAATTCAAAATTCAAAGGTCATTTCAAAATGTCCTCATTGATTCTCCAGGATTTATACTTTCATGAAATCTTTCCAGCACTTTTATTCAATCCCTGCATAAATTATTGACATTCTAATTGGAACTTTATCGCACTTATGTTTTTTATTGTTTTTGTTTTTGGAAGCTTTGATATATTGATATGTATTATCTAATTACATATCTTGATATGAACCTTATAATCCCCTTTTCAGACCTTATTTAATAGTGTGTCTTTAGCCATCTGTAGCCTCAGCAGCTGGGAGATGCACAAGGCAGAGGAGAAGGCAGAGCAACAAGCTCAGTGTCTTCATGATTCTCTGCCTGGCCTCCTTTCCACGGTCCCTGCTCACCCCTCCATGCCTGTCGTTTGCCTGTTTTGTCTCAAGCTAGTTCCTCTTCTTTCTGTTTCTGTATCATAGGAAGTTCCATTACCTAGAATCTCCTGCCTCTATCTTCCTGCTAACTTCATTCAACAGGAGGTTTGAGGACAGAGGCAAGGCAGAGGGAGGGCATTTCTTTGTACGTTCTCTTTGTTCCCACCAGAAAAAGTGCTTTCAGGGAGATGCCAACTCCTCCTAATCAGTCTCACCCCAGTTTTAGCTCACTCTGGGCAGCCCTGGCTCTTGAATCCTGCTAGCAGCATTCTTGTCTGAGCCCTCCAACCCTAGAGTACCAGAGGTACCTGCTGCTTGCTAAGCCCAGGAAGTCTCACCATTCTCTGCGAAGCTGCTCGGTTCTACTGTCCCTCTGTAACTAATTCTCTGCATTACATTATTTCTGCTTGAAACACCTAGAGTCATTTCCATTTTTCTGTCTGAATCATAACTAATACACCATCCAAACATATTTCTCATCACTGTCTACCTGACGTCCAAAATTTCCTTGAAGCACAGTAAAAAAGGAGGATTTTTTTTTTTTTTTTTGACGTCTTTGCACCTTTTCTTCCCTAGTTGTAGGAGGTCGGTTCTGAGTGCCCTCTGCAGGTATGCACATACCTTCCTCTCTACACCCACGGCATCATATGTGTGTCTCCAGAAATCGCCTCAATAATATATAATCTCCATACTAGCTGTGGAGCAACTTGAGGGCATGGGTTTTATTTATTCCCAAGGCTGATTTGCTGTGTGGTAGGAGCAGGTGCCCTGTGTACATGCGTGGAAAAAAGAGGATGGAAAGAAGGAAGGAGATTGGGAATGAAGGGTTTTGCGAGGGAGTGAATGTTGTAGCAGTAAAAGGGAACTTCTTCGAATTTCAGAGGGGAAAGGATGCATCATGGACCACTAGGGCTAACTGTATTTGTAGCATCGTAGGGTTATGTGGAATAGGACTTTAATGATTACATGTAGCTTTTGGAAAAATGAAACATGAATTAATACTAAATCAGTAAAAAATGTGATCCTAGTTTTTTTATTTTGATAAAGGCAACAATAATATGTATTTGTACAGCGCTGTGAATTTAAAACATAATCACATATGTAAAAAAATCTAAAAGTCTACAAATGTGTGTTAAAAATCACTTGCATGAAGTCACGAAATAAGTGAAATTAGGCCCATAATAATCATAATGGGAATACAGTTTGGAAAGCAAGAAATGAAATTATCTTTATAGTCTATATAAAAAACACAAAAAAGTTACTAGAAATAGTAAGTGAGCTTAGCAAGGTTGCAGGGTAAAAGTTCAGTATATAAAATTAATTGAAATTATACATAGGTACAGTGAATAACTGAAAATAAAACCTGAAAATAATAATGTAATTTATAATAGCAATAAAAATGCAAAATACTTAGGGATAAATATAACAAAATATGTGCAAGAACAATATACTGAAACATATAAAATGTTGAAGAAAATTATAAAAAACCTAAGTGAATAAAAAGATATTTTACAGTCACGAGTCAGCAGACTTAAGGTTGTTAATACATAATTGGCCTATGAACTCAACATAATCACTATCAAATCCCAGTATCATCTTAAACGTGCAGTAACGTGAGGTGTGAGCATACTGCATCACTGAACCTCTCTGCCTCCTGGCTGGCTTATCCAGTAGGGACCTGGATTCCCTGGTCCTTTAGTTCTATTTCAGTTCTAAAATTATATTCTAAATCTTATTTTTCTTTCCAATGACAACAACAAGATACACACACTCTCTCTCTGACTCTCTCTGTTACCCACATTCTATTTAGAAAAGTAGGACATCTATTATAAATTCAGCTGGAAAAATATTACTTGAACCTCTGATGAGATTGAATTGGAACCCTTTCCAAGGGCTAGTCCAGAGAGACGAGAAGATAAACAGGTGAGCTGCAGAAGAAGAAGGGGCTAATAGAGAGGGACAACTGTTTGATTAGATGCTTAGATTGAAGTTTGGAATGAGCTAAGAGGTCAGAGAAGATAAGTTTTGCGCGCGCGCGCACACACACACACACACACACACACATTGCTGAGGTTTGCTGTGAAGCTTAGGCAATTCAGAGTCTTGTGAAGATTTCAAAATAAAAAATTTTATGGGCATGATTGGGAGGGACACGGACTCAGGGGTGGGGTGGCACACTCGGAGTTATCTGACAATCTAATAAAGATGCAGGGAATTTGTAGTTTCAAGGCACCTCCAGATATCAAATAAGAATAAAGAAATACCTGATAATTGACCCAATGATGAATTAATTGGCATGTTAGCTGTAATACAATTTTTCACAGCTTGGCTCACCAGAAAAATTCCCGCAGTTTTGTTCCCTAGAAATGCAATTGAATTTATACGTTATTAAAGCATTAAATCTCCTGGAAAAGGTTATTTGATAGTTCTTTTTCTTAAGAAGTTTTCTAAATGTGGCGTTCAAGATAGGCACATTTTAAATTTTAAAACTTGAAATTTAAGGAAAATGTGTGCTAAAAAAATAGCTCATGCCTCGTGATGCTCTGCAATGCTCACCTCCATTCATGAAAGGACAAACCTTCCAGGAACGCCTGCTGTCTGCCAGGCCACACAGTGGTGCTGGAGGTAAAAGCCTTAGTTACAGGCCTTGCCTTCAAAGATCCCACAGCGCCTCCTGCAGGAGTTACTTTGAGTGCTGTTTGGAAGATACCGGGGAGGCAGGACTAGAAAATGAGTTATTTAAGAGAGAAGGCACTAGAAGTCTCCTTAGAGGACCATATTAGCCCTCCAATGCCCCAGGACCCCTGAGATGTAGAGCTGGTGATGAGGGAGGCCAAGGGAGAAAATGCAACACACTTCCTTGGAGAATTACAGGATGAGTTTCCCACTTCCATCCCATGTTTTCTTATCTCCTTGCAGTTATCCAAGAGGGATGCGGTCCCTGCACCTCTGCCTCTCTTCCGTCCCAGCTGAAGCAGATTGCATTTGTGAGTAGCATATTTACCCAAAACAGATTCAATCATGAGGTTCACTGCTGATGAGGACGGAAATGTCTCTATTTTCATAAATGTGAATTGGGGATTCTCAGTAGAAGAGGTGTTGGCCAGACCGGCATGCTGCTTTCAGGGATATCGGCCGCAAGAAATCAACGCAGGGGGCCGTGGCTGTGGGGAACTCTTGTGGATTCAGAACAGGAGGCTGAGGTTCCTGGGTCTGGGGTGAATGTCCCAACACACTTTTCTTGCCAACCCTAATCCCTAACTAGTTAAGGGCAGATCCCAAGGAATGTTTTCCACTGTGACTCCTCCTTGGCAGTTGAAGATGAAACTGTGATGTTTCCAATTGCAGCCCTATTCTTTAGAAAGCTTTCTCCTTGAAGTTCATTTCTTCTCAACCAAAGCCCAGGTTCTCTCCTGAAAATGATGAAGGCTTTGGAAAGTCCCTTTCCTTCTCTGGGTGCTTATTTCCCATTTCTAAGGTGAGGATGGGAGCCTGGGGAATGTGCTCGTGCTATGTCTTTGAAACCAACAGTACAAAGGGTTGGAGGCTGTATAAGAGTATGGTTAGATAGAAGGTTGGTTATGGTGTCTGTATCCTCCAGAGTTGCAGAAGGAATACATGATATGATCAACACAGCTTTTAATTAAATAGATTTTTAAGGAAAGACACAGATGTGTCACAGATGAGTCACAGACTCTATTCCATTTAAGGTAAATTTAAAGACCGAAAGATGCAGGTGGAGCTAAGGAAATAATAGACGGCAAAACAACCAGAGAGTAGTGACAGTGGGAAGCTGTTCCTACTCTTGGTCTGAAGGGAGGATAGAAGGGTCATGTCACCAGTACTGGTGACAGTTGTAGCTGCGTTAGAGAAACTGCCCAGAGAAACCTCGAGGGAACATGTGGATACACAGATTCCCCCTCCTTTCTGCTATCTGCTCATCTCCCATGGGCTCCTCCCATCTTCTCATCTGCGGTGCTACATCTTGTTATTTACAGCCAACCAAAAGCTGGAAGGCAAGGGGGTGCACCTGAGGCAGTTCATGGAGATCAGCCTCTCTGGACAAAAAACAAGATGGGGAAGGTTCAGGTCTATCCGAGAGGCAATGAAAGTATCACCAGCACAGTAGGATGGCTGCTGGAAGAAATCAGCCCTGAGGTACCACTGCTCAAATGCAATAGAAGTCTATTTCTTCCTCAGATAATTGTCCAGAATTGGTTTTCCTGGTTGGTGGGTGCCTCTACTCCACTCAGGAACTCAGGGACTCAGGACGGCTCCAGCTGGTGACTTCCCCTCCTCCTGGGGCATCGTCTGTGTTGGCATCCCATCTTCAGAAGGGAAAAAGGGCATAAAGACACATCTGTGTCAGGTTTCTTAAGAGCCATGCCTGAAATTGGCAAGAATCATTCACATTCACATTTGTTTAAAGACAATTTGGTTACATATTCACATCACACTACAAGGGATTCAGTACAATGAAGAGGAGTTTTGTGCCCCTGAAAGGGAAAGCAGAATTCTGTTAACACGTAGCATCTGGGAGAGAATTCTGCAGAATCCAGAATTCTAAGTTTTCTAGAAGATCATTTTTCTAGCATCTTGGAGCAGGAACTCTGTGAGTGAGGTTCAATATCACTGAACCCCACCTTCACCCCAATATAGTAAGAGGGAAACCTGTAGTAAGAGAAAAATCACTCTGAAGTGATTTTAGGGTAAAGCCCCTGACACGTGTGAGCGACATTCTCAGAGTGATGTCTCCACTCTGCAGTGACACACTCATGTTTATCTCACACCTGCCTCCGTCAGGGTTCATGTCTTCCTTTCTCCTCACTGTGGTCCTGTGGGTTAGTTCTGTATTGAGCATCACAAGTTAACTTCACCCATAATCTATCCCAGCCACAGGGACCCCAGCTGCCACAATCCAGTGTCCCCTGGATAAGCATTAAGTCTTGGGACTGAATACAGGTTGTAATTTCCTCTAGTTCACAATCAAAAAAAAGAACTGCAGATGTAAAGATTTCTGCACGAAGCCCTCATTCTGTGTCAGGTATCACATAACCAGTCTCCTTAAGTATCCAACCTTGAGAGATCGATAAGCATTGACCTGATGACGCATTATCCCTTGAAACCATCATAGATGTTTTTGATATGTGCTTTTGGTTGTTGCTCAATAATTTATTTGAATGAGCGCCCATTTATTTTCAGAAAATTACTTTTGGCTTCCTGAAAGAGGTGTATGCATGAAGAACAGCAACAAGCCATACTAGTCCTTGTTCACGCGTCTGGTTGTGTTTTTCCCAGTGTTCTCTGCAATGAGTCTCAGACCATCACAGAAGCTGCGATATTAGCAGGGGAATAACCATCAGACCAGACCACAAAGACAAAAGTTGGGTTTCAGTGCATGATATTCTCTCTACGTTAGCCATAATGATTTGAACTAGCGCATACCCTTGTCATTCGTAAGCAATGTTCTACGATATTCTAAATTCCCTAAATTTGCATAAATTGTGGCATGCAATTCCAACCTCAGTTGCAGTAAATATAACTGGAAAATGTCGTTGAACCCTATAGACCCTAAATTGTTTTATAAATATAGAACCAAAGTAATTTATTAAGCTATTTTCTGGCTAAGAATCAGCATTTTGTATTCACTGGCACTGCAAGCATTAACAGTTGGCTCGCACTTCAGGGTCATTTTCTGCAAAGAAATCAAGTCTTCATACTTTCACCACAATTTGTGCTTAAGCAGTGAGGAGGATGAAAGCTGCACAATCCCACCGAGAGGCTAGCTCAGCAACTCTCAACTGGCATCAGTCTCCCAGCCCTGAGCAAAAGTATAGATTGTTCCAAGGATCCAGATCTTTGGGCAGGCCCAGCCCCAATATTTTGCCCAATTCACTCTGTGTGGGTGCTAGTGTTCTCTGAAAAGTGGTTTTTAGCTCCCACTGTAAGTCCTGCGCCTTTCTGTATCAGGAATTTTACCACATGTGTCTATTTATACATCCGAGTCTTGCTATAGACTTTTAGCTCCTTGACCAGGCACTGTGACTCAGAAATTACACAGCCATTGGATACTTTCCTGGAAGAATATCCTTGAGAATTCTGTAGAGATATTTTGTCAACTTTCGCAGTATCAAGCAGCAGGTGCCAGAGCTGAGATTTGCTCCTGGACTGATTCCAAAGCTGCAGACTGATAATGCATCTTCAAACCAAAAGGAAGAGGGTTTCATGACCCTCTGAGGATGGGCATACGGTTTCCACCTAACCTTAGGATGATTGTAGGATGTCACTTCTCTCAGGGGCTGTGCAAATTCAATCTCAAGAAATTGTTGAGATCCTTTTGGGCTACAAGCAGGAATAAGGCACTGTATCGGCCATGGAGTGGCTGGACCTAATGAAAATCCTATTTCATATTTAGGCAAAATAATTTCTACATGACTTTTCCTATCTTCTTTCTCCAGCATCTGCTATCACCTCATACTGCTCCAGTTGTGTTTCTGGATTCACTCCACAATTCTCACTTCTTTCAGTATTATTTGCTGGCAAGTGTTAAACAGCCTGTATGGGCCAGAGGAGAGGAGGGAGCCTAAATTTGCAGTGTTTGCTGACTTGGAGCTAAAATATTTGTCCAAGCATTTCAAGGACAAGAGCAAAAGCGTGGAAGGTGGATCAAAATTATGTGAAGAGACAAACATCAAGATTACAGAAAGAAGTGCCAATAACATTAGCTATGAGCGATAGAATAGAAGATGAGATTGCAGTAACTGGAGAAGGCATTAGTGGTGGGCTCAGTGTGCTACGGTCAGAGCAAGGAAGGAGGGGGCGTGGCTGGACACAGTACTTCTACTCCTGTGGCCTAAGCTTGTGTTGCCTTCTGGTAGTGGTTTCCTGAACCTGCTAGTTTATGTTCAGGCAAAGCCACTGCTGATAAAGAAAATACAGTCAATGAAGACAATCCATGGTGGTGAGACGTACACATTTTTGGAATAACTTTTTTATTTTGATTTTAAACAAGCAAACAAAAACAAGCACCAGTCACATCAAAAGCAGGTCTGTGCATTTTGCACTGGGGAGGAAAAAAAAAATCCCAATCCCGAATATAGTTTTCTAAAACTTACTCTTCATGGAAGCTTCAAGACGTTCCTTTCTCAAGAAACAAAACGAAACAAAACATCAAAGCTTCACTAAGACTAAAAACCAAAACACCAGGAGAAATGCAAGTGTCAAGTTGAAGAAAGCACCTTAAGGAAATTTGTGAAAGTGAAGCAACTAATTACTGTTTCCCTCTGGGCAGAGTTTATAATAGCACGGAAAAAAGTGGCCAAATGTTATGTGGAAATGCTTATAAATAACTCAGGACTTCACAGACTCTGTGACCTTAGGAATGCATTACCACCTGTGATATATGCCCCTGGGACAAAAGTCTTGTGGTCAGGCGTGGGCAGATAAGTGCTGGGAAGACAGTCCCTCATGCGCACAGCCCAAGAGTTGCACCAAATTGTGTGGCCTAAAATCTCATTATCTATACTTCTGTTGAAGTTTGCTAAGAAGTTTGATTGCCAAGAACCTTCCCTTAAGTACTCCAGGAGGAACTTTTCATTGACACTATTGTTAGGGAACACCCTAGCACACTGGTTCTCTACCATGAATGCACATTTCGAATCTCCTGGGGAACTATGCAGAAAAGTCCAGTGGGCATCTGGACTTCCTCCTCAAGATTTCTGGATTAAGCTGGGAAGTCCTAATAGGTCTTGGGTAAAACCTGGACAAGGACGGTTTTTGAAAGCCAAACGGGATGGAGCTGTTGAAAAGCAGAGTATCATAGGATCAGTTCCTCTGGAATAACTTATGAAGAACGCTTTGCATTCTCCAGCATTGATGTGATTTTAAAATCAGGGTGAGTGCGACACCAGCTGAAGCAAGAGAATATTTATATTGTGGCCACATGAGGGACCCCCGCGTCACAATTCTCTGCTGACAACTGCGTATTACAATAATTCGCCTTCCTAAATGCTCTGCATTCTCTACTTTCACAATCACAGGTGAGACGAGGGATATCAGATTGGTTTCACTTGTCATGTCATCCCTAATAGATGGGTGGTGATTGCCTGAGTGCTGTGTTGCAAAACAATCAGAGGCTGCATCTGAAAACAGCAGTAAAAGCTACCTGATCAATTAGTGATGTCTGCCAAGGGTGCTTGGAATGAGGAATGGCAATGCACAGGACAGACTTTGCTAGCTTTGCATAACTCAACAGAAGCAGAGCACTGTCTTCAGGTGACCTTATGCATCTCCACGTGTATAGTACAGAGAGTGCCCTCTCCCATCAGAATAGTAGGATGTATTAGGTTTACTTATATAACTAGTCAATACCTTAGGAGGTCTTTTCAGCTTAGTATTGGATACGTTTTTTTGCTTTTGGTTTGTTTGTTTTATCTGCCTTTCCTAAAACACAATAGGCATAGAAAGCACTGATTGTAAGAGGCTTATAGTTTCACTGGAGAAAGTCTATATGCAAGCGACAACTAATAAGCACGGTATTATTTATTGTGACAGAATTGTGTGCTGATATAATAAAGACAATAAAGAGAGTAAATTCTTAATGGCGTGGTCTGAGGAACAAACACTAATTCTATAGTCCACCAGATACCGCTTTGACCAAGGGGATATTGGAGGCAAATGGGTACATTCACATTCTGAGCAGAGCTGGTTTCTCTCACAAATGATCACAACACAACACAGCACAACCCAACACAGCACAACATGAGCCTCATCAGCCTATTATTCTTTAATCAATTCAACGGTAATTTGTCCAACTTCTCATTAACTTTCTTTTCTCCTAGGCAAGTGTTCCAGCTTCTTAGCTTTATATAAAGAACAAGGATCCAGGCATCCGACAGACCTGTCAGACCTCAGCTCTGCCACTTAACTTTGTGGCCTCCAGACAGTCTCTGATGCCTACAAATCCCTGTTGCCACCTACAAGGTGGATATAACAAAACCTCCCTTGCAGGAATATTTTAAGATTTAAGAAGATATGTCAACAATCTGGTGCCTAATAGGGTTTCATTAAATGGCAAGATATTATTTCCTCAATTATAAAGTGACATTGATTTTAAGATGTACTCTTGGATTAATAGAAAGTTTCCCGGGCTGGGGGGAAACATCCCTTCCTTATAATGTACCTCGCATTGTAATGTGAGTCTGAATTTTACCGACTGTAACATGTGAAGTGCGTGTGAGCCTAGCTGCAGCGGTATGTTGCCAGATCCAGCACGTACAGCCAGAACAAGCAGAGGAGCAGCAGCAAATGGTCCTCCAGAGCCCACCACGTGCCAGGAACTGCCATCAAACATTTAATTCTCGCAGGAACCCAACCAGGTTGGTCATATCAGCCACACACGTTACAGACAAGGCCACTGACGCACTACTATGAGAGTAAACTGGCTAAGCCCTCATAGCCAGAACGTGGCAGAGCCTGAATTTCAGCTGGGCATCCTGACTCTCAAAGCCATGCCCTCAGCACCGTGCTGGGCTCCTCAGGGCTGCCTGCTGGAAAGTGTCCAGACCTGTGAGTGGAGGAACCCTGAAGGCTGGCAGGGAGGGGACATGGAAGCAGAATCAAGAGGGAAGCGGACTCACCATGGAGAGAGGCTGCCTGCAGGCCACGGGAAGCACCTACAAGGCAGCTGGACGCTGAGGCTGGAAGCCTAGGGAGTCAGCAGACAGGAGGCAGGAGTGAGGCGCATGAGGAAAAGCAGTTCTGGGAAAACGCAGGACACCACCCACACGTGCAGGTCATGGGGTCTGATGTTTTCTGTCAAGAGGGAAGTGGACATGGGTAGGCTGTCATTTTCCTGCTTGGAACAGACTTTGAATCTGGTTCCCTGTTTCTTCTGAGGCCATGCCCGCATACCTCAAGACCAAGAGAACAGTTGGAGTATGTTATGGGTTAAACTGCATCCCCTCCCAAAATTCATATACTGAAGTCCTGACCCCAAGTACCTCAGGAATAAATCCTGCTGGCACCTTAACTTCACATATCTGGCCTCCAGAATTGTGAGAATGTTGTGTAAGCTGCCCAGTTTGTGTTATTTTGTTACTAATCCGGGATATATGATGAACACCTGGTTATCTATAGGCTGATTAGTCCATTTGGCATATTTGAAAGAAGAAAGTATCTTCCAGAGTCTATGTATTTCATATATGACAATTTGTTTTTTAAAAAAAGCTCATTGTGAAAAAGTGTATTGGCACATTCTTGTATTTTCCATGTCAGAATTCATTTATACACTTACTTCTACACCAACAACTAGAGATATGACTTTGGACATTGGTATCAACAAAGGAACATTGTGTAAACATATACCTGCTCATTGTTCTCTGTGAACTTACTCCAGAGATTTACAGGTTCATCATGATGGACTGTTACGGAAGCCAGAACATGTAGACAGGGGGTCAATATATTTTGTTAAAGGTAACAATATAGTTGCATAACCAGGGGCTATGAGAACACCAGAACAGTATAACTAACCCAGCCAGTAGGACTTGAGGAGAGCTTCCCAAAAGAGCTGGCTCCTGAGAGGAGCAGTACGCTATGCACCTCAAAATTCAGTTTAACAGACGTTCATCGACTGTCTTTCCTCCTTCTTTTCTTCATCGCAAAATGAACCTTCCCACACCTAAGTATGCATCACCATCACCTGAAGGACTTGTAGAACCATGAACTCCTGGGCCCCACCTCAGCATGTCTGATCTGGCACATCTGGAGTGGCCCCAAGAATCTGCATTTCTAGCAGTGCTGGTGCTGCAGGTCCAAGGCCCTCACCCTGAGATCCACTCAGTAAACATTTATGAGCATCAACCTGAAACCAGGTATCTGTCCTCAGGGATGCAGAATGAATAAAACATAGTTCTGCCTTCATGAGAATAATGGATATCAAATCAATCAACCCCTTTATAATGCAGTAGCATTCTCGAATCTCTGTTTCTTCATGGAAAAAAGTAAAATACGCAGTGCATGATAAGAGCTATTTCTCCAACACCATCGTCCATGCCTACAGAGGAAGGGTTTTTCAGAAATGGTGATGTCACACGTCTATTCTTTTGCCCTCTATTTGTACACTTCAGTGTTGTAGTCTGGTGAAAACAAAGTCTGGCCTGCAAAGGAAAGAATTTATAGATGTGGAAGTTTGGATTGACAGATCTTGCTAACATAAACACGCTGGAACTTTGTTTTTCTCCCCACTTCCCTTTATTGAAGGGCAGTATTTACAGTAAGTAGCATGGGTCTGCCTCTTAGATACCCACAAAGCAGCAAAGAATGATCTGATGTGCTTTCTTGAAGGCTGTCAGGATTGGATAATCAGTTCTTTATCTCCTGTGACACATGTCGAAAAGACATGAGAACCAGATGAACACAGCAGTGAACTCTATCAGAAAGACACCAAGACAATGAAGGAACAAAAGCAATGGTCTGACAGGAAGGATCCTGTTTTTTTTGTTGTTGTTGTTGCTCATGAGCTGCACTGTCAAATATCTGTATTTGTGCTGGTTGTGTCTTGAAAAGGTCTTGGGGCCAGCTGTGCAAGAATGCATGCACTTGACCAAAACAAAACTCAGTAACAACCGAACAAGTGTTTCTCTTATTTCAAAGGCCAAGCGCTTGGCTTTAGAAGGAAAAGGGAGTCCTGTGAATTGCTTCCCTTCGAGCACTATTTGTCTGTCCCCATAATATGCTACTTCTGCCTGATGTGGGCAGGCCTATTGTCTATCATTAAGAAATCAGCTGTTTTTTAAGAGAATGACAGGTGGATATAAGCAGGCACCTCAAATCTAGGTGTCTGGTCATTTCTGTAGTGCTCACATAAACAGTTTAGGAATTCATAAGTATGTTATTCATAAGACACTCTCTTGTAGGTAGTTAAAATGTTTGGTGCTGTAGGAATAAAGAAAATCAAGAGCTTTCACCAACTCCCTTGCCCCGATACATTTGAGAGATATTTTATTGTTAAAAGAACAAAGGCTTGTTGTCTGCCTGGCCAGTTTGAATTAACGTGGTGATTGATTTTTTTTTTAAATGAAATTTGTATTGAACGTGGAAGAAAATAGATTTACTTAAAAGCACACGCACAAGGATGCATCTGAATTTGTACTGTTAGTATTTTCACTACACTGCTGTGGTCGTTCCTTATTGTTCCATTTTAGATTCAGTTCCCTCCATTCCGAATATATTTATGAAGCATTTTCTAGGTGCCAGACACATAGACACTAGGAAGATGAATATCCGGGTCCTTGATTTTAAGATGTGCACAGATCTGTTTTCCAAATTAATGATCTAATTTCCATTACTATCATTCACAAATAATGTTCATACCCATAGTTCTACCTTTTGTTAAACCTCTCCAACTTATAAAGGATCTCATTTGTACAACCCTGTTTATCCTTCCATTCCATAAGCACAGAAGGGATGCTTGCCCTGGATCCCTTGCCCATTCATCCTCGCGGCTGCTTCTGTTCTTTCTAGGGCTCTCCGGTTCAAAGGTGTACATCTTAGATTTAGGGATTCACTTAGATTACTCTCATGCTAACAGTCTGGAATTCCCGTGAAATAGTTCAAGAAAAAATTAATAAATTGTATTATGTAGAAAAACTTCTGTGTGCGTGTATAAACATAAGCAAAGTGAAAAAGACAGAAGACATACTGGGAAAAATGTTTTCAACTTATATGGAATATAAAAAGCTAGCTCCCAAATATATATATATTTAAAACCCTGTTGAAAATAACAAAAAGGATAAAAATACCTATAGCAAGAAATGGGAGAATGGCACTGATAGACAATTTACCATCAAGATATACAAATGCTTTACATCTATGAAGTGTTCAACCTCACTCATGCTCACACATGTCAATTTTAACTGCACTGACGTGCCATCTCTTAGCTATCAGATGGGAAGTACTCAGAGGTTCAATAAATATTCTGTTTGAGACTTGGTGTAGAAATTGTTATTCTCCTACATTTCTGATAGGAGTGCAAGAGGAAAGCATCCTAAGGAGGAGGATTTGGTGGGACCTAACAAGACCATGACGCATTGAGCCTTTGGCCCAGCAATGTCACTTCTAGGACTCCATCTTGAAAATACACCTCCAGAAATGCAAAGCATCATAGGCAGAAGATCATTCACTGTGGCTTCATATGTAATAGCAAAATATTACAAAAAATAAAAATGCCCATTTGTAGAAGACTGCTTAAATAAATTATGATATATCAGCACTGTTCTTTACAAAAGGAATGAGGAGTATCTGTATTAACTGATATGTAGTGACTTTGAGGATATACTATTTAAAAACTAAGATAGCACTATACACGTACATTCATATATATACCTCTGCAGATTTTGTACAAAGAAAGGGATATTTTTTTCAAAAATAAATACAAAAGAATAAAAGATAAAATACTGGAATGGTTCCCTAAGAAATGGGAAAATACTGGGCCAGGCATGGTCGCTGAAGCCTGTAATTCCAGCACTTTGGGAGGCTGAGGTGGGCAGATCACAAGGTCAGGAGATCGAGACCATCCTGGCTAACATGGTGAAACCCCATCTCTTCTAAAACTACAAAAAAATTATCCAGGCATGGTGGTGGGCGCCTGTAGTCCCAGCTACTCAGGAGGCTGAGGCAGGAGAATGGTGTGAACCTGGGAGGCGGAGCTTGCAATGAGCCGAGATTGCGCCACTGCACTCCAGCCTGGGCAACAGAGCAAGACTCCATCTCAAAAATAATAAATAAATAAACAAATAAAAATAAATAAATAAAAATGAAAAAAGAAATGGGAAAATACTGAAATGGTTCCCTAAGATTAGTGGGGTTGGTTTAGAGGAGATAGAAATTGGGTGGTATAGACATATATCATTGTACATACTTTTTAAAATTAACTTTAATTATTTTATTTTTTATTTTTTGAGACAAAGTCTCGTTCTGTCACCCAGGCTGAAGTGCAATGGCGCGATCTTGGCTCACTGCAACCTCTACCTCCCTGGTTCAAGCAATTCTCCTGCCTCAGCCTCCCCAGTAGCTGGGATTACAGGCACTCACCACCAGGCTCAATTACTTTTTGTTTTTAGTAGAGATGGGGTTTCACCACGTTGGCCAGGCTGGTCTCAAAATCCTGACCTCAAATATGTATACTTTTATAGTTTTGACTTTTGAATGGTATTAGACTATTTCATTTAAAAGTGAAGTAAGAAACACAAATAAGAAGATCCCTAATATTAAAAACAAAAATGAATTAACCATGTATCAAATTGATAGCATTAGTACATAATAAAAATGAATTTGTGTTAATTTTTAGAAAATCATGCCTACTATCCACTCTTAGCAGGATATAGTCAAAGGACCAAAAAGAACTGCTGAACTGCATAATTGCTTTAGTATATAATACTTTATTATATTTAGTATAATTTAGTCTTTAATACTTTATTATTATATACTAAATAAAAGTTTTTATTTTGTATGTATGTTGAAAACTTTAGTATATACTATGTTGTTAGCAGCAGTCATGATGGAGTAGTTCTCAAACTAGTGATTTTTGTGCATTGTAGGATTGGATGATGGATGGATAGATGGATGGATGGATAGATAGATGAATGACTAGAATGGATAGAATGATAGAGGCCTGGGATCTGAATTTCAGCCCCAGAGGGAGATGCTGGGTGGAGTCAGACCAGGGAATCCCACCCTTGGACACCCCAGTGGGATACAAACACTAGCCCCTGGTAAAACACTCAACCTCCGCACGAGGTGAGGGGCTGTCCTGGCACCAGAGCCTGGAAGACAGGGAGGTGAGCTGCGTCCCTGTCACACTCAATCCTGGCGCTGGCATACTCGTTTTGGTGACACTGCTGTTTATTTCCAGGCTACAATGCAGCCCAGAGCCTTAGGAGACACGTGCCCCATGGCTCAACACTAAACCGTGCTGTCTCTACATGGTTGTGGTGGGAAGTCTCTCCTTCATCCCCAAACACAGCTCACAGGCTCTCCTGCTGTCCGCGGCAGGAATGCTGCAGCTCCTTGCAGAGAGGGAGAGGGATCTGCTTTTTATGCAAGCCCAGCCACAAGGCCATGTGGCCAGCCAGGTTGCCCCTCACAGCCAAGTACAGGCTGCCCTCCAGTTCGCCAGAGCCAGCTTCCCATGGACACAGCACGGCCATGTCTGCAGCAGTGGGCAGAGGGGAGAAGCCCCCCTCTCTATGCCTGGGCTGCAGCACCAAGGCTACTAGGTCAGTGGAATGGGTGATAGGTAGATAAAAGGCAGATAGATGGATGTGGATGGAATTTGCTGCATGCCCATGTTCTCCCGGTGGAAGAAAGGAGATTCAAATTCGGAACGAAGGTTGGAATTGGAAGTATCAGTAAGAAATCCACTGAAAAGAGCCTAGTAGAAACTCCAGTAGCAATGAGCACACCTAATATTCAAATCTTGATTGAAATAACAAGCTAAAAAGAACCAGGTGCCTTGAAGAAAATGCTGATTCCAAGTTATGGGAAGGAAAAATACATGGTAACTCTAGAACATATTGGTGTGCATGCAAGTAAATCACAAGATTCATCAAATTCAGACAATTTAAGAAGAAGGATAATTATATTAATGAATTATAAAAATATAAAACAAAAATGTGAGTCCACACAGATAGTAAAGGGGAAAAAAGTAGAAGGGATTCTGTACAGAATGATAACCAACTAGTACAGAAAGAATGATGGAATTACATAATCACCAATTTAAACTTCCACTACCATCATTGATTAGAGCGACGATCACCAAATGATACTAAACGACCAGATAAAAGTTTTTTGGACCAGAGGAACCTCTTCAATGAGATACCTAGTAGATACTACCTTCTCCAAGTGAGCAAAGTAACAATACCAATGACGCATCTAACTGAAGTTGTGTGCCTTCTAGTATGCTGCTGTGGGAAGCGCATAACCCGCCATCAACAAAGTTTAACCTCAATCTAATCACGACACACATTCAGAATATGAAACACTCCACAAGAAAAGGGGCCTATTCACACATGTCATTGCCATGAAAGTCACACATCAAAACAGGTTAAAGGGACGTGGCAAGATGAGGTTTTTGACTGGATTTTGGACACCGCCCCCACAATAATGCTGCTATCAAGCACATTGTTGAGACAACTGGTAAAATGTTAATATAGTCTGTCTATTAGGTGGTGTTATTCATCAATGTTAAATTCATTTCCGGTGACAATGGTATTGTTGTTATGCAGGAGAATGTCTTTGTTCTCAGCAGTTATATGCTGAAGTACTTAGAGGTAAAGTGTGAAGTTGTCCACCTCTTAATTTTGAAGGGTGCAATAACTAAATAAATGAAGAAAGGGAGAGAGCAAGGTAGGGAGGAAATGAAGGGGAGGGAGGGACAAAAAGAGAAAGATTTTGAACCAGAAAGAAATAAATGGAGGGAGGATATGCAGAGAGATTTAAAAAGCAGAAAACATATTTGCTGCTTTTTACAACAAATGATTTTTGTTTCATCTTTTTGCAAACAATGATTTTTAGGGGTTCATTGCATTTTTCTTTTAGCTTTTCTGTGCACTTGAAATTAAAATACAAAGCTAAAAGAAAAGCAGGGCAGGAAAAGGAAGAATGTACAACTTTTATAAAGAAAGAAGGAGGAGGAGCAGAATCTAAAGAAGAGGGAAGAGGAGGAGTTGGGGGAGGAGGTGGAGGTGGCCTAAGAAGGAAGTGGCTTGAGGAGGAGGGAGATGGAAGGGGGAGGGTGGAGAAGGAGAGGGGAAGGTGCTGGATAGAGGGGGAGATGGAAGGAGGCGGGACAAAGAGGGAGGTGGAGGGAGGAAATGGGAAGGAGAGGATGGAGGGAGGAGGTGGAGAATGAAGTGAGCAGGAGGAGGGGGAGGAGAGTGGGAGATAAGCAATATCAGTAAGACCCAGCCCCACAGAACACTACTCAGCATCCATCTCCATATATTTTTCCATGGCCACATGTGTTTACATGTATTATTTTCCACTGAAGTGATCTCTATGTGAAACCGCCCATGAGCAGCTTGTGTGGGGCAAAACCAGAGCCTGGGTAGCAGACGGCAGCTTTGTAGCTGTCATGATTTAAATGGCCACTTTGATTTTCATTGCCTCACTTCATACACATTTCCCAATGTGGGCTTGGTGCTACAGGTCCCTGCGCAAGGGTGGCATTTCCTTAGCCTAACCACTTTGTTTCCTACTGAAAGCAAATGACTATGCTATGTCTTCCACTTTTACTCTTAGCAGTGATAATCACCTCAACAGCAAATGGATTAGCCATATACTTTTCTTATCTCTATGCCCATATCTCTTTCTTAAAGAATTTCTACAAGACTGCAAAATCTTCGAGACCAAGGACAATATTCTTCCCTCCTTTGATTCCCAGATTCTATCATGGTGCTGGCACATAGTAGGTGCTTAACAATTATTAACTGAAAAACTGAATGAATGTCACATACATCTAAAAGATTTTCATAAGGATTTAAAATTATTTGTATTGATCTCTTCTTCATTGTTCTGACAAAAATATATTCTAGAAATTAAAATGAATATGGGAAGCCTGGATGACCAAGATTAGCCCTGTGCAGGCCTCATTATATGGATTAATATTTGCAAACCACTGACGACTTTCTTCTCCTTAAACTGAATGATGACTTCTGTCATAAAGGAGAAAAAGTTAATTCACAGAATATTTTGGCTTTAATGTTTTCCATATCTTTTCTTAAACCCTTGACATCTGACAATCTGAAAATCCAGGATAAGTTATTATTGACTTTAGTCAATATTTTGTGCCATGTTATAAATTAGGACATATTCTATATACACATTTTTCCAAAGCTAAAAATGTTTGCACACCACAGCTCTTGGTGACTACAATAGAAAGCAGCGGGTAGGTGGGACAAGGTGTTTTTATACTCAGGCAGATACCATC